TCAGGAGCAGGGATTGCTGTACCGCCTGAAATGGTACAGTTTCTATTCAAAAAGGCAATAGGTAAAACATGAAAGCCTATCAACATGGCTTATGTCATGATTAGGATAGGTTTATATTTAAAAGCATATCATTTGCTAGATCATATAGGAAAGGAAGCTCAATGATTAAATCTAAAAGTAAATGTGGCTGAGGAATGCATAATATATTTATTTCCAAAGAGCAGTGGAAGTCATCAAGCTCCCAGGCGAGGTAAGGCCCAAGTGCTTGCCTAGTGGGCTGGGTGGGCGAGTTCACTTAGGCACGACCAAGGCACTCGCTTGGGCCCAAGTGCTGGGCAGGCCAGGAGCCCGCCTGGTTCAACTTAGGCAGGTCGAGCCTGAGCCAGATCAAAACAATAATATCTAGTTTGATTGAACCAGTTATCTGACCTAGAAATCCCTCTTTTCCATGCGCAAGTCATGCTCTAACACAGGAATCCCTCTTTCACACTGCGTTTCTGCATGGCGACAGAGTTCTTCCCATCGACGAATGATGGCAACGATGACATCATCTTCCCCTCCCTCCTAACCTTTGCCCCGTTCACCACAATCCCCCATCTCCCCCCCCACCCCCCAGGCCTCGTAGGCCCCCCTTCCTCAGTCGCTCTTCCCCATTCCCCGTTCACTGCTGCCTTCTTTGCTGTTTGTCATTTTTTTACAGCTATGTTTCAATTTTTAGATAAATCAAAATTGATTATTTTTGTCTAAGTTTGTAAGACAAGTTGCCTGCTTTGCTGTTTGTCTAAGTTTGTGAGAACAACAACTACCTTCAGGTTAAGTTACCACGGAGCTCTCTAGTGGAGCTTGAGCAACCCTGTTTATAATAATTAACAGCAACTGTTTATTTTTATTAATCATGATATATAATTTTTAAATTGTAATATTCGAGAGGGCCTCACTATACTCGGGCTAGCGCTTAGGCAACCAACTCGGGCATTTTGTACCGTGATGTCTTTTGGTGCCTAGCGTTTTTTACTATACTGCCAAAAAGCAGAGCAGAGTAGGATGTTAATATTATACATCAATGATCAAACAACAAAATAATTTCATGAAATTTCTAAAACTTGATACTGAACATTTATATAATGACGAATAATTAGAAGGATCTTCACCCATACCTGAATGTAATGTACACCATGTATTCTTGTTGGACTACTCACCAACTCCACAACTGATACACCACTAGACTTACCAAAATCTAGAAACCTAGTGGAACCATTTGTAGCATCTAAAAAGCTCCACCTTCCTACAAACCAAAAATCAGCACATAACTTCAGGTACCTTTCTCATCAGAAAAACATATTTAGTAAATGAATTTCTTCCTTCATTGGTTTAATTAGAAACAACACATGCTAAAAGGGTATCTTCAATTTAACTTCATACAAAATGGTCACTTTTGTGCACTTTCTACTCATCTAAGATTCAAGAAATAAGCTTTAGCATATGATGGGGGTTTACGAAATACTGACATAATATTGCAACAATACCATCTGAAATAGAATACATGTAAATTACACAACAATATATAGCTTCAAGTTCTTCTTCCATGAAACAAACATGGAAAGATTAGGTCAACAATCAGAGTATATACGTTCACATTGACTGTATATCTAAACTTCTTGAATAATAGGAGGAAATGATTATTTTTAACTTTTGGTGTAAACATTCAAATTCAAATGTAGAAAATACTGCAAGTTTGATTCTAGAACTTGAAAAATCTCGCCTAATCCCATGATGTTGAACCCACTCCAATCCTCATTTCTCCCTCTTTATTTCTTCTCCTTTGCAAGATTCATTGAAGGACAACAATGGTCACAGGAGAGGCCATTATAGAATGTCATGGAAAGGGAATGAGTCATTGATAAGTGCTGGAGATAGCCAATGACGATCAAAGAGTGCCATCTTGACTGTATCTCTTGGACTTGGAAAGCGAGCGAGGTAGGATTCCTCAAAGAAACCAGCCAATTATTCACATTCTTCTTCCCTTTAACATGATTGTACAATTCTCCTAATTGGAAATAGTTCATGTTTGACATTGATGTGTCTCAGTTATAAGAGTTGGGGTCATATTGGGTATAGTTCATTTTCCACCACTTTCTTCTTCTCGATCTACAATTAATTCATGACACCACCATCCAATTTTGTGCCCACCCAGAGGATCTACAGGTTAAGTTATATGCAGGAAACAAAGGATACAATTGACTGTCTCATAATTAGGAGGTACCACATCTCCACTAGATTTCCAAATCTGAGAGATGACAATCTAGATGATGCCCACCAGTCATTGTCAGCAGTCCCCAGAGCTTATTAACAATCTCACTCTCAATCATCGGCATACATCAACAACCTTCTCATGACCTCTATTGTCCATCAACAACTACCACATGCAACAACATCTCACAATATACTTGTAGGAAGATTTACAGGTTTCAATCCTAGATTAACTCAGTTACGAACTTCCTATATAATAATAACTCCACTACTAATCAAGCATGGTCAGCTAAGAAATAAACCATTGAGCATATTAACCTATTTGGTCAATTAAATAGAGTAATAGCAGGCATATGACAATGGGTCTTCAACTCAAAGTTCAAACCTTGAACAAATAGACAGAATTCAATTATTACTAAAACAAATGTTCAACAACATATTCTAAAGCTCAAGATTGGTTTATATTGGTAATTTATTGGTTCAATCTACCAAATGGTAGATTTAAAAGAAAATTAAAACAATACAGAAGACATCATCTAAGTCACTTGTACAAATAAATGTCAAACTTCACAACATATTATGCTAATAATTTCACTAAGTTCCTTGACTAAACCATATAGTAGCTTAAGGGCATTTAACCAACTCCACGAATGTGTCAGTTTTTCAATGGAACTAAGATTTGAGATTCATGGGTTTCCCATGTAGTTCACGAAAAGAATTTTGTAACCTGTTTAAACATCATACTAAATAATAAAGCATGAAAAGTATTTGCCTTTTAGTACAAAAAAGCAAGGATGATTGTTAAACTTCAAAGGAACATTATAAAAGCAGGGATTAGTTTCATTATCTTTCTTTTTCTTTTATATTTTATTCATGGGAGAGGAGAAGTTGAAACTGTTGCCAGTGGTGTCCTCTTGCTGCATAAGGACCATCTTCCAGCACCCTTTCCAAATATTTATAAAAAAATTTAAGTTCACATAAATTATTTAAACCATATTCTTTCTAGCAGGAATGCTGACCTTCGATGTATAAGTCAGTAACTTTTTTATCAACTTATATCTTCAAGCTAATTACATTTGTATAGAATGCATAAACCTTCTCACAGGAACTATTATAGTGTCCTAATTAAAGATATTGTGACGTCGAGTTAAAATAGTAGTTCTGGTATTTAACAGGATCCACAATTATTGGGCATTTGATCATGCCACACCACAGTGACTCAGAATAAAATGGTATTAACAAAAAATAAAAGAAAAGAATGAAATGGAGAGATCAAATATCTAGATAATAACATATTTTTGCTATTAAAATAATCCCAAGAAGTCAACTAAACAGATAAATTTACAAGAAACAAAAACAAAAAGGAACATAAGAAAATGTATGCTAACTTGAAATAATCCCAAGAAGTCAACTAAACTGAGAAGGAAAAACCTTGAAATGACAAATAATTTCCTGCTTGATTTTACGAATTACTAATTTAACTGGGAAAAAAAATGGTAGGAACAAACCTCTATAAGTCCCAGTAATATTCCAGGCAGAATAGGAAATCAAATCATTTTCATCTCTCCTAAGGAAAAGCTGCTGTATGGAGAAACCATTAATGTCAAGAAAAAAAAAAAAACACCAAACAACTGATAATTGTATTAAGAAAGGTAACAACGACACCAAGTTGTAGCACCCAAAAGCAATTATGAAGTATAACTCCAGAAATAATGCACAATTTTGAAAAAGGAAAAATCAGCATGGACATAGAAGTAATCTCACTCCTCTAGTACAACCAAATAAAAGAAATAGAACAGGTTTCTGGCACAGTTATCCCATTCCTCTAAAGGACCAACATCATTGAGTAATCCATCTAGGGTTGGATATTCCAAAAAAAGTTCTACATCACGAAAACACCTAAACCAAGAACCAGTTTTTCAACCAAGTCCCAAGAAACAACTTAAGATAATTAGGTAGAACCAGCGGTCGCTAAAGATTGACAACATTGCCACGTAGCTACAAGTGTCCTGTGATCTGAAAGATCATCACCTAGGGTTCTCCCACAGATACAATCCAACTGTAATTTCAAGTTCAAGAAATAAAAAGTCAGGAGAGAGCAAAAACACAAACCTCTTCACCCCAAGAATCGGCGGCAGACGAAACCCTCTCCTTGAGAGGCCTCAGAGCCACGAAGGGTCTCACAAACCCAAGAAGCAGCAAGAACACCGCAGTACCCCAGAGAAGCCCCTTTCGTCCTCCCCTCCTCACCATGGCAGCCGCCGCACCAGACTAGCCAAAATAACTTGATCCCCAAGGTAGGCAAGATCAAAAAACACAGATGATACCTCCTAGATTACACCTCAAAACAGTCCGATCGAAGACGAAGTGGCGTCAACCCGGGTTCCAGAAGAGCACAAGTCATCGTCGTCAAAGCGTTATAGCTGAAACCACACGAGATGGCAATCTACCTGTGGAGAAAAGGATGGCCACCATGCGGGGCTCGTGGTTGCGGGGGTCAAAAGAGAGAAGCAGCGTGGAAAAGTATACTAAGACGACTATATATTGGGAATTAAGTGCGGAAACGTCTATGCATACGCCTGTTAGAGAATCTACGGTCCAAATGAGTTGTAAGCTCGAACTTATAGTATGAGTTGTTGGTCATTCACATGGATGAGTTGTTTGTTCCATGAAGCCCAAGTCTCGGCCCAAAACTGATCACCACCGACCCAATCCATGAATAGCCGCCCGGTGATGAACTCTTGCCCGGGCTGTATCAGTCCCCAACCTCCTCCGCCTCGATACCAAGACCACCCGGAAAACTGCATCCTAGGGCGGGAGGGGAGACGACAATGACGATCCTCCGCTCGCCGCCGTGTTCGCCGTCTGCCGCCCTCTCTCCTCCCCAATGCCGAACGGTCCGGCCCTTCTATACCAATCCAATCGTCCTACTCTCCCGCCGCCGCATCGCCCTCTTCACACGCCCATGCGGCAGTGGCCCGCGGAGACCCGACGATGTCGACGAACGCGGCTTCGAGAGATGCAGGAGAAGGTCAACGATGGCGGCGGCGGCGGCGAAGCGGCTGTTGGCTCCCGCCCGTGCCGCGAGCAATCCTCTCGCGGACAGCGGCGCCGATGGAGAAAGCGAGCGTAGCCTGCGAGAGGTCATCGTACGAGCTGGAGAAGTGCTGTCGTTGGCTTTCCCTTTGTGGGTGGGGTCTGCGTGCGTCCTTGCCCTCTGGAAGCCGTCATCGTTCCTCTGGGCGCACAAGAACTGGCAGATCCTCGGCCTCACCCTCACCATGCTCGGTCTCTCTCTGTTCATCATTTTGTAGTTCGAGGGAGATGGTGGATTATTTTTTTTTGTTGGTTGGGTTCGTGCAGGTATGGGCATGACGCTGACGCTCCAAGATCTGAGAGGTGCGCTACTGATGCCCAAGGAGTTGGCTGCGGGTTTCGTCCTCCAATACACGGTCTCCATTGCTACCCCTCTCTTCTTAGCTATCCTTAGCTAGTTTATTTCGCTTTGTCGGTCTTTGGTAGTACGATCGAATTTAGATCAGTTCCTTTCTTCTAATTTCTGCAGCTCCTCCTTTCTACTGCTGTATGTTAATTTGTTGGTCTTTGACAATATTTTTCTGCTAGTTTTGCCCCCAGAAGCTACCACTTTCTAGCTAAGTGCAGTTTGGATTCGTTGCCTGCCACAAACAGACTCCCCTTCGATGCAATTGCACTTAATTTATGCATTAATTACACATTACAATTCTGTTTGTTGGATGAACTTTGAGATAATTAATAAACCTATATTAGGTCTCGTGTGGATATATTTCTGTTAGGCTTTTCAGATATTTCCTTGTTTCACAAAGGATGTCACGATCGATCTTGTTACCTTAATTCAGTTCTTTATTTTTCATCTAAAACTTTGTTATTCTCTGTTATTAAATCTGAACAGAAATTATTATGGCAGCGAACAACAGCTTCCTAATTAGTGAGCCTCCTTTCTACATAATATATGGAGCAGCAACATAGAGTAATAAATTATTTTTCAAATTCGACAATCTTTAGAAAACTTGTTTCCAAATTCCAAGTATTAATTATGGGCGATTTGACCATAGAGGTGCATAGCATATGCAGAGAGATTCTAGATTAGTAGCTGTCAAAAAGCCTGGTAAAAGCATTAGCCTCCGGCTCTTGCCTTGTTTCTGTGGAGTTATGATCTATCTAAGGACGGTAACACAAAGGTCCTGCTTTGTGAAGTAAACAAGTAACTTGAGGAGTGAAATGTAGTCTGTCCAACATTAAATGTGTTGTATTCCTCTGATAAGTAATTGAAGATTTAGTCAGGCCTGACCATTTGTAACCTAAACCTTTGTTCTCTGTTGTCAACTTATATATAAAAGTTACAAATAGAAGACTGTCCAGATCTGGCTGGGTTGTGAAAAATGTCTTTTTTCGTTTATATTACATGCTATATTTGGTGGATCTTTGCTATCAATAAAGAAACATTTGTATGATTTTCTCAAATATTTACTCTGTGGTATTTAAGCCTAAATTCAGATACTTGTAAGTTGAATTTATACACAAAGGCTGGATAATTCCAATTACAGAATTATGTTTTGAATGTCAAATGAGATTCTACTGAAATAGTTGATGATGATATCTAGCTGACATCCTAGTTTTTCACATAGTATGTAAAATTTTCTTCTGATCAATGCTAGATTCAACCATAAGATACTGAGACTACATATAGACAGGTTCTGCACAGTCATAATTCATGTATAATGTACCACAATACATAACCATCTCTGTCATGCAAGTCACATGATCCTGTGTCCCTTGTTTGTTCCAATTTTTTCTAGTTGTACTTGTTTCACAAATACTATTAAGATTATTCTATAATGCATGTGGTCAACATTCTTTTGCTAGTGCATTTTTTTTGTCCTGGATGAAGCACTTCTGGATGGTCATTTATATATGCATGATAACACCCTCCGTAATACTCTCTATAATGGAATATGGCTTTCGATACATGTAAATTATGATTGTCAAGTCTTATGTTGATAGATTCTTCTATCTTTCAGGTTTTTTATAACACTGAAGTCCATGATTCAGTTCTATTCTCTTATGCCCAAACTTAATACTTTGCTTTCGTTTATTTAGAAGTTATCAGAAACAAACCTAGTCATCTTGTGTGATTTGCTGTAGGTGATGCCTTTGTCAGGGTTTTTTGTCAGCAAGCTGTTAGATTTGCCTTCTCATTATGCTGCTGGTTTGATATTGGTTGCTTGCTGCCCTGGAGGTGTGCCTACATGTTCTCCACTTCCTTATCTGTAATCTGTTTCTGTTCAATTGTTAAAGCTAAGTATGGACCACTGTTTCTGCAGGCACAGCAAGTAACATCGTTACTTATCTTGCAAGGTAGATAACTAGGGAATGGAACCTCATCGCGCATCTTCATTAGTGTAAAGAAAGTTGCTTAAATGATTTTGTTGTGCTCCAGGGGAAACGTTGCCCTCTCAGTGTTGATGACGGCGGCAAGCACCTTTACTGCCATGGTAATGAAACCTTCTCCATTTCACCCTTGTTTTTTAATGCTTAATGGCTTCCATCTCGTAGTTGACCTCGTAAGGTTTGTTGATTGCAGATAATGACACCTTTTCTTACGTCCAAACTTGCTGGACAATTTGTTGCAGTTGATCCAGTTGGGCTCTTCTTGTCTACTGTCCAGGTACATCTGCAGTCATTTCTTTAACTTGCTCGACACGTTCCGACCGTTTGAATCACTTTACACCCTGTCGTTACAGGTTGTTCTTGCCCCTGTACTACTGGGTGCTCTTCTGAACCAGTATTGCAACAGTCTGGTCGAGTTTGTTTCCCCCTTGATGCCATTAGTTGCTGTTGGAAGTGTTGCACTGCTTTGTGGTAGTGCAATCGCCCAAAATGCCTCTGCTATCCTTTCCTCTGGATTGCAAGTGGTGATATCCGTTTGTTGTCTTCATGGTTCGGGCTTTTTCTTCGGTTATGTATTATCAAGGATGCTGGGAATCGATGTGTCTTCTTCCCGCACCATCTCCATCGAGGTTGGGATGCAGGTAATCTGGTTAACGCTTATGATTAGCCTCAGCATCCTTTTCACAGCAACAAGTTTGACATTCCTTTTTCAACATGTAGAATTCAGTGCTTGGAGTAGTGCTTGCTGGTCAGCATTTTGCCAATCCCTTGACTTCAGTTCCTTGTGCCGTTTCTAGCATCTGCCAGTCAGTCTATGGCAGTATATTAGCTGGAATCTGGCGTCGGATGACTCCCACGACCCAAGCGAAGGATTAACTTTTCTGTGCCCAAAAAAACATTAGGAAGTCATGCATGTTGTACCAACTTATGTTGTCGCCCTAGAAGTCAAGCATGCCCAAAGGAAAATTCTTTTCCGTGATGTCTATTTAGTCATAGTGAAAAAACATTAAGAACTTTTGCATGTTGTCTGAACTGGAATCATTTTTCTCTTAGCAGCTTTTTGATGTGGTCTTGTACCAAAAGAAACTTCTTTTTTGTGAAAGACCATTAAGTCTTAGTAATGTTGACGTAATGTGCTCGTCTAATTTCCCTGAGCAAAGTTGACTTGAATGCCCGCTTTGACTTTTTTTTCTTTTTGCAGCTTTCCTAATTCAAACACTTATCAGTTTAATTGGTGAAGATCTTGATAGATTATCGTAAGGTGGTTTTGAGATTAAATCTAGTTTTTATTATTTGTTTATAGAAAAAATAAATTAAATGGGTTTTGACATTTCAGTGGTCGTTAGGCTTCTTGCATTTCTAGGGCTGCATGTGTTCTATGTGATCCCAGGGGAAGTGTGAAAGAGGACCATCCATCCCAAGAGTTACTATGGGCATAGTATTGAAGAAGAAAATAATTTTAATTTACTTCATTTAAAGCTATTAAATGCTAGCTGTTTGCCTTTTGCTCCACTTGCAAAAAAATTGCGTCAGAAAATTTAAGACCATTTAACATCATTTGTCCATTTATTAACTTTAATGTGTAATTTATACAATTATTTTGCTGTTTGAATTAATATAAAAACCATTGGTAAATAGTTAAATATTTTTTTTATTTTTTTATTTAATAAAAAAAGAGATAATTTATTTGTTGAGGGAGAAGAATTAATTGTACCGTGAAAATTCAAATCAAATTAAATATTGTACTCATCCAAACAATAATAATAATAATAAATAATCAACGAAAAGGGTAACTGCTTATCCTGAATTCTCTGATAGAACAGTAGCGTGAATGACTACTACTAACAAATCATATCTATTATTCAATGGCAGACAAACCCTATATATATATATATATTAAGGCAGAAGAATAAAGTACAAATTTGATTTTTTTTGACTGATTAAATTGAAATATAATTCCAGTATCTGCAAATAAACTGCACAATGGTCACATGACATGGAAGCTTAAGATCGCAGTACAAATAAGCAGTAATAATAAATACCCTTCACAGAGCTCCAAGAACAAGTGCTAAGAAAAAGAGTATCGAAGCAAGCCATATGTGGCAATCTGCATTTACATTTACCCCTCAAACCATAACACTAACAACGCACGGCTTGAATACACGTCTTTGACATAATACATGGTAGAGAAAGTTTGACATTACTCGGTGCGGAAGGAAGGAAGGAAGGAAGGAAGGCATGGCGTGACAGAAGAGAGAGAGCATGTTTCGATGGGGATGGCAACCATCTCATCTGATCTGGAAGTGCTTGTACGTGGGCTTCCCGGGGAGGCTTATCTGCATCCTCCCGTCTTGATCTGCCTGCCTGCACCGGTTCGAGCCTTCGCCGGCCTGCGCGTCGGAGGAGCTCTTCCGGCGCCGCTCGTTGTGGCCGGCCAGGCGGCGGCGGCAGCTCCGCTTGGAGTCGTCGAACTCGGCTAGCTCGTGGAACCTGCACGGAGCATGTCAGCGGACGAGGAGCAAGAAACGGAGAGGCAGAACAAAGCCTTCCGCGAAGACTCGAGAGTCGTTAACTCGTCGATCCGAACAAGCACAAGCGGATTCCACTCGTTGCTCGTCTGAAGTGAGTCTCCTTCCCCCTTCAAATCGTCGACTACGAGTACTGTGCGTCTGATGTCGTGTATTCTTTTACCTGCTGCATTGCTGGCAGAACCTCTGGCGGAAGCCGGCGACCATGACGACGGCGGCCTTGGAGTGGGCCTCGCAGACCTTGTGCCGGCGGTGGTAGCGCTTCGCCTCGGTGAGGTCAGCGGTGCAATTCTCGGCCTGACAGCAGGGTTGCGGCGCTCCTCCTCCGCCGCCGCCGCCGCTCACTCCTCTGCGAGCAGCTGAGGAGGAGGAGGAGGGCGGCCTTCGCTTCTTGTCCGCCTCCGCCGCGGCTTCCTCCTGCTCCTCCTCGTCCTCGTCGTTGCCCGTGGCGACCGCCGTGTCCTTCCTCGTCTTCTCCTTCGTGCTCTTCCTTGAGGGCTCGGTCGACGGCCTCCGGTGCTCCATGAGAGCAAGAGGTAGAGGGAGGAGGAGGAGGAGGGAGAATTAGTGGGATTGTTGAGAGGGGAAGAAGAGATGGAGAGGAAGAAAAAGGCAAAAAAGGAGAGAAGAAAAGGTAGTCGGAGGGTTGTGAGGACCACAATAACCCAACCTTTATTTTGTGGGATATTTACATACTCAATTTTCACATTTTAGAATAATTATTGGTGGGTCCTATTTAATATTTATTTATTTATTTATAATATTTTACGTTCATAAAATAATTGAAGGTGAAACAAACATAATATTCAATATTATTATTATTATTATTATTTTAAAATGTTTGAAGGAAAAAAATTAATCCTATCTTCATCACTTATTTTAATAAAAATGAGATTTTAGTATATGGTAATATATCAACAAAACTATCCTCTCAATTTTTCATAAAAATAGAAAAAAGATTTACTTTATCTTCTAAATCAAAAACAAATGCTATTTGATATTTTAATTAGAATTAAATAGGTAATATGTGTGTAAAGTATAATATAAATAAAGAAAAAAGTAATTATTATATAAAATAGAAACATAAAAAAGGAAAATCCATATCTTTGCAAAATTATTTACCATATTTTACACCACACCATCTAACCTATCGATAATATAATTGATTAATCTACCCTTTTTCGAGGATTAAATTTCCACGTTTAGCACAACAATTTGCAATACAATGAAGGAAAAATATACTTCTTGCTTGGGCATTTTTTGGTCCATAGAAACCGATGGATGGAGTGAATGTGAATAGGGTGAGAGTTAGGAAGACGTGAGAAGGGAAATCAAGAGAGAGAGAGAGAAGAGTGATGGAGAGGTGAAGAATAAGTGATAAAGATAGCGAGAGGGGTTGGCCCATTTGCAAGAGGCAACACAAAAGCATCTTTCCTTGGGGAGGGATTGTCACTTTAATGAAGAGAATATAAGTCTATATAAGTTGGGAATTTTCTTTCCTATTGGGCTTGTCAATTGAGGACTTTTGATTCTTCCTCAATGGCTAAGTATCAAATTTGATGAGTAATATTGATGATAATATTATAAACTCAATTATGTTTATGTTGGCCATTTACTTTGGAGTTAAGTATCAAATGTGACTCATTATATTATGATTTGATTGTTTATATTGAGATAAGGCTAATTAAACTTATTTGATATTTTATAATGAAGATAAGACTAAAAGGTACAACTTTTCTTCAAATAGGGTGTGCAATGTACCCATCTTCTTTTTCTTTCTTTTTTGTTGTCTTACCTCAATTGTACATATATCTTTTCTTTATATTATTAGTAATATTTTTAATTATAACTAAATAATTGTTTCATCTAATAACAAATAAATTATATATTTATAGTTCGATCTTGATTCGGTTCATATCGAAATCGAATGAGTTTAAAATCAAAATCGAATTTGATCAATTGATCGACTATTCTAAATCGAAATGAAATACAATCAATAAATCGGTATGACGATTCGATAAAAAAATTAATATATAAATAAATTTCATGATGTAGTGGTTAACAAATCAAATGAATGGGTTTGAATCTTGGTATAGTAATTTAATTTTTGTATCAATCAAAATATATAATTCAAATCCAAATTTAGTAGTGTCAAAACCGTTAATTCTAGAATTGAAGGTGATGATTTGGAGGCTACTCAAATATCTATGAGATGTGTTTTATGATCAAATTATGTTGAAAATCTAAGATATATATATAAGTTAATGAGAAATATATCAAATTGGATATGCATAATATAAGGATAAGGCTACTCATTTATGTTTCAAGTGGAACATGAACTCGTCATGTGCGTCTACAAGACATTATCGATTCCATCGTGTTTATTTTAATAACCTTTTTTTTGTTTTATTTTTTTTAATTTGAACCTTTGGTTTTTTAGATGCTCTATTAGTGATCTCGTAATTTTACTGTCACACATTTGTCACATCCAACAATTTAGCGATGGAAGATTAGAATATATGATGCCTAATGAAGTCAAATTGGACCACTCTCCTTCCTACCCTTTTTAAGCTCAACTTTTGATGCTTGTTTGCTATCTCAAGGTAAAAAAAAAAAAAATTGATGATGATGATGATTATTATTATTATTATTATTTATTTTATGAGATCAATAAAAATAATTATTAATGTTATTATTAGATCATCGCGTCTCTCTCAAGTTAAGTTTTTATGATCATAAGTATCATCTATAAAACTAGCATCGAAAGTATATTTGATAGGGTCGATGAGTTTTTTCTATTTAGAATAGTAAAATATAATAAAAAAAATATTTTTCTCTCTAGTTTAGGGTACATGGATGAGTTTGGCTGACTAATAATGATCCAAAATATTAAACATATTAATTATTATTATTATTATTAGTATTAGGATGAGAAGGAGAAGGTATGGGTGGGGCTGAGGAAAAGGGTGGAAATAATGGGAGGGGGCGGGGGCGGTGAGTGGCACCGCCGGGGACCACCGGGTCGGACGCGACCGTGATGAATCGTTAACTCCACCGCCGAGCGCACGCGTCGCGGGGCCCGTCGTCCCCTCGAAACGTCTCTTTACCCTGTCTCCGCCGCTCTCCTCCTCCTCTAAGCCACCCACGACAGCAGGACCGCGACAGCTGCACCGCACGCGATCCGATCATGTGCGGAGGGCGTCGATGGCGTACGAGGACCGACTCCGCGCCGCTTCTCTCTCTCTCTCTCTCTCGCACACACACAGAGTCCGCTGTTGAAGCTGAGCTGCACGCTCTTCAGGATTTGTCCCACTTCCTTGTCCCTGGTCAGTGAATGGAGTTTGGCAGCTTATCCGGCGTGACGGGTTGGCGTCGGGCACACAGGAACCGTGTGGGCCTCGACGACGTACCGCCCATGAGAAGCGGACGAGGGCGATGCGTATTACTCTGCGGGGACGACGGCTACGTCTCATGCAGGACGACGAGATCATCTTTTCGTTACCGACTCGTGTCATTCATTCATTCAGTGTTGCCGATGGTTTATGTGATGATGAAGTGAAGTGAAGTCGGGTCGGTCTTCTCCAACAAGCTTTTTAGCTGCAATCTATTTCCAGTAATGTGCTCTCCATTTATTTTCCTTCGATTATACCAAAC